TCGTGGAATTGCCATAATCTCTTGCATCCTAAAACTTTTTTAATCAATCGTAAACGACAAAAAATTTCAGCAAGTAAAAAATCAAATTACAAACAAACAGCAAAAAGGTGGCTCAGCTACCTCTAATCTTCTTGAATTTGTACACACTTAGATTATTTCACCGAAATCTGTGAAATTTTACCGAAATCTCAACAGCTGAACGTTCGATTAACGGTTTCGTGATTTTTCACAGATTCCCTGTAATTTTTCACCAAATATCTGTGAAAAATAACAGGAAATCTGTCAAAAATCACCGAACTGTATGCATCGGTAAAATAATCTAAGTGTGCAACCTTCAATCTTAACGCAATGGAGCACAGTGGTCCAGAATGCAAATTTCGGTGGAAGGATAGGTTTTGAGCCTGAAATTGTAATTTTAGACTAAAATTATCATTTACAAAGTAGCCCTCATTTTTATGACAATAAATTCTAGGGTGGTTCTTATTATCATTAAAATTAAAAATCTAACTTTTTTGTGTGTACAAATTAAGGTATACATAGTTGGTTGGAAATGCTATATAACATGAAGCTTTAGTGTGATAATTTATTAGCTAGGGAATGGTCTTTAGAAGAGGCTAGGTAGATAGTTCCGTTAGAGTACGGCAGTATGAAAATTGAATAGAAGTTGAAAATGAGCGAAGGGGCATTATTAATGCGACAGTACAAAGTCAAAAGCACACCTTTTTGCCTAACCCGTACGATGTTCGCGGAGATTTTAAGTATTTCTTCAAATCTAAAGGCGAAAAAGTGTGCGCTAGACTTTGCACAACAAAGTTCCAAAAACGTTCCCAGCGGAACTTCTTAGCAACTATAAAGTATCTTAAAAGTTCCTTGCAGAACTTCTTAGCTACTTGAAAATTAGCCCACATGAAGCAATCCACACAACTATTTGCTAGTAACAAAATTTAATGTACACTCTCCCCCCGAAGAACACGAACTCTGTCTACATGAATTCCATTTACACTGGAGTCGCTTTTTACGCGGTTTTTTTTACACGGTTTTTTTTACGCGGTTTTTTTTTACGCGGATTTCGGAATTTACGCGGTTTTTTTTTACGCGGATTCCGGAATTTACGCGGTTTTTTTTTACGCGGTTTTTTTTTACGCGGGACGTATCACCCGCGTAAAAAGCGACTCCAGTGTACGTTGGTCTCGAATGAATCCGTTTACGCGAGGGAATCGCGAAAATGGAGTACACCAACATGGAATTTCTCGCGATCCTGGACATATATAAGGTTACTGTCTTGGGCAAAATTGTTCAGTAGATCAAGAACTTATGGTTGGTAGACAGAAGTTTCAAATTTTCTCACTACGCGGCGCTAGTGTGCTAGTGATTTCCTTGCTTATGTCATATCTTGAAATCTTGCCATCTAGTTAGTTGCTGTCTTCGGCAAAGTTGTTCAGTAGATCAAGACCTAATAATTGGTCAACAGAAGTTCGGATTTTTTCCACTACGCGGCGCTAGTGTGCTTAAATTTGTGATTCCCTAGTTTATGTTATAGCTTGAAATCCTTGCCATCTAGAAAGTTGCTGCCTTTGTCGAAGTTGTTCATTGAATTAAGACTTTATGATTGGTGGACATAAGTTTGGAATTTTCTCACTACGCGGCGCTAGTGTGCATCAATTTGCGATTCCCTAATTTACGTTATAACTTGAAATCCTTGCTATTTAGAAAATTGCTGTCTTTGGCGAAGTTGTTCAGTGGAGCAAGACCTAATAATAAGTCAACAGAAGTTCGGAATTTTTCCACCATGCGGCGATATTGTGCTGAATTTGTGATTCCCTAGTTTATGTTATAACTTGAAATCCTTGCCATTTAGAAAGTTGCTGCCTTTGGCAAATTTGTTCATTGGATCTAATGGATGGAGGACATAAGTTTGGAATTTTCTCACTACGCAACACTAGTGTGCTTGAATTTGTGATTTCCTTGTGTATGTGATATCTTGAAATCCTTGCCATCTAGAAAAATGCTGCTTTTGGTGAAGTTGTTCAACGGATCAAGACCTAATGAGTGATGGACAGAAGTTTGGAGTTTTCTTACTACGCAGTGCTAGTGTGCTTTAATTTGTGATTTCCTTGTTCATGTGATTTCTTGACATATCCTTGCCATCTTGGAAGTTGCTGTCTTCGGCAAAGTTGTTCAGTGGACGAAGACCATCATTTTTAAAAATAAATTTGTGATAATTCTGCAACTTCGTCCTGCTGCTGTATATGCGTTCTTCGAGCTTTATAACAAGAACCTGTCATTCTAGGAAAATATAACATTATGAAATCTGCCCTCAACCAATGTTTGCTGCAGGAGACGACTTCGAGTAACACAAAAGTCCAACATGGAAAGTAGTCAAGGAGAGTCGACTTCTTCATTCAGCAATATCACTTCTATCACTCCTTCGTAATTTTCACCCACCTGCTATTTTTAGTTTGCGTGTAGATAGTTGAAATTTAATTAACAATCATGTTTGGTTTGGTTGTAAAAAATAATCAGGAAATAAAACGAAGCACATAATCCTTTTGGTGGAAATTTGTTTCGTTTAGTATGTGGAATGTCATGTTGAATTTCTCGTTTAGAAAAAAATGAGAATTTGGTTTTTGATCAATCAATGTATACTTCGGTTTATAATAGCGTATATATATGTACATTTGATGTACATGTACATACATATATATAAAAAAATACGAACGATTTTTTTCCTCTGTTCGGGACCACTGCGACCAGTTATTTGATCTATTGTAGTATATCCCGTGTCCCTAGTTTAGTGCATGTCGTATTACTCCATCACTTTTGAGAAATGATGAAGTATTCGGTTTTATACGATTGTCCATCTTGCCTTCATCGCAAGGAATCGATTCTAATTGAATGGTTCCGCTATTTATACCCTTCGGAGTGTTGAAATACCCTCCAAAGGCGCGCCCCTTTGTCAGTCAAAATTGGATTCCTTAGCAACAAAAACAAGCAATGACATCGATAACCCTAGTCTTGACAACTTCAAACTAGGGAACAACGAATAGAAGATAAGGAATCACATAGGTGAAGACTAACTAACTCATTTTTTCCTTGCTTCAAGATCATCCTCGGTCCAAGCAACCCGAGGACTTATCACTATCGATAAGGCATAAAACGTAACAAGGACTAAGATGTGTTCCTTTGATTACTGAAAAATCCTGTTCCCCTAGTTTGAAGTAGTCAAGACTAGGAATCGGTGGTAGATCTTACATCCCGTATCGTACCACGAAAAAGTGATCTACCCACGTTACGAGGCCAACGATAAGGTCTTGATCCACTGAACAACTTCGCCGAAGAAAGCAACTTCCTAGAGTGCAAGGATTTCAAGATATCACACAAACAACGATATCACAAATTCCGAATTTCTGTCCACCAACGATAAGCTCTTGATCCACTGAACAACTTTGCCGAAGAAAGCAACTTCCTAGATGACAAAGATTTTAAGATCACTAATTCATGCAAACTAGCGCCAAGTAGCGAGAAAATTTCGAACTTCTGCCCACCAACCTTGATCCACTTCTATATGTCATTGTGTATTGTGTATATGTGTACTCCATTAACGTGAATTCGATTTACGCGGTACGTATTACTCGCGCTCTTCGGAGGGGGGGGGGGGGGGGGGGCTAGTGTACTTTAATGTACCAGGGATGGATCGCTGGTACTTTTCAATATATACTGCTTACGTGAAATCCAAATAAATACTCAATTATACAATCTTAAAATGAATAGTTGTGTGCGAGTAGCTCGGATTTTCGCGATGCGCGAGCAAAATTTCGATACGCTGCTCTTCTTGCTTGGACGGCATTTTGACAACTGAAGAGTGAATTCCAAAATCAAAATAGGAGCAACATTCTACACACACACACCTTCAAAATGAGGGGTGTTCAGGTTTTTTAAATGCAAAATTGAAAGAAATACGTCAAGTTGATATTGACCAAATTTTGACCGTATCACCCTTTAATCTCCCTATCAAAATTAAAAATTTTCGCATAGCAGAGTCTCTTTGTTTTCACTGAAGGTGCTCTTGGGAGCGCTTTTGAGTGCACCTTGGGTGAAAATGCAGAGTGTGGCTCCAAGGAGCGGAAATATTGCATTTTGATAGGGAGAATAATTTATTTTATAAAAAGCAATGAGAAAGCTCCTAAAGAGCGATCCATTACTGATGCCCTATTCAGGGGAAAATCAGTTATTACAACTCTAAAGGAATTTAGATTTTATTATATGAAAATGATTAATTTAATTTTATTCCAATTAAAAAAAGTAACCACAGGATGAGTTCTTTTGCTAAATTACGTAAACTTCAAAATAAATTTGAGTAGAAAAATAAACCTAATACAAAAAGTTGTACATCCATAAAAAAATCTCTAAATCTTTTAAATTTGTCGAACCTCTTAACTGATTCCCTTTATGAAGAGCTTTGAGTGGGTTGGTTTATTTCCTTTAAATTCCGTTATAATTGCTTATCTTTTGACAGATAAGCGTATTTCGTCTACTACTTGCAGACTTCATCAGTGCCAAGTGGTGTTGAAATACGCGTATCTGTTCAAAGATAAGCAATTATAACGGAATTTAAAGGAAATAAACCAACACACTCAAAGCTCTTCATACAATCTTTAATTTACTTCGTGACCGTATGACATTGATGCCATATTGATTTTCCCGTTTCTCCCATCGAATTCCTTGTTTTCCCGGTTAGCTGGTCGCGCTGATAATAGAATGAGAATTATCCATCACATCTCACTAGATGTCTCAACAGGATCCTTCGTTAGTCATTTCATCAAGCCGAATCGTTGCAAACCTATTTCAATCAAGAACAACTGTTGTTCAGAACACACAGCTCCCGACTCTTCACAACTGCGAAAGCAATAAAATTCAGGAATTAAGGGAGCACAACTTACCTTAATGAGTAAACCAGTTCCGAACAGCTGTTGCCTTATTGGATATTCGCATGCGCATACCGTGTGGTGTGTAACCGATGTCCAGCAGAAGTTTGTTGTTGTCCACTTCACGGTGGCACTACGTTAGCCCAGGAATGCGTCCAAATTCAACCTACCCGAACTGAAAATCACACGAAAAGTCCAACGGGGATCGCCCACTTGCTTCCGTACCGGCGAGAAACGGCTTCTTTTTTCGGATTCTACAAATTGGTCAGAACCACTCGAACTCGATTGTAGTAACTGTAGGATCGCGAACTCGCGTGGATTAAGTCATGAGCTTGGACGGATTTACTGCTTCACCCGTATCAACCAGCAAGCGTTTGCACTATATAGTTTTTTTTGTTGGTTTGCTGCTTATTGATCTAAATAAAAATGTAGGTATAAACAAAACCGATAAAAATGGGCCACTTTATGGGTGCTTATAAAAATGCGCCCTGGCTATCGGGCCACTTACTCGCTGGCGAGCTCGCGCTCGGCCACACACTTCCTCTTGCTTCACACCGTTCGTTTGGGTTAAGTTTGCGTCGCCTTTTTGGTCTTGTTAGACTGGTTCGGAAAATTTAAACCCCTGGCATTTCTAATGTTCTTCATTTGGAATTCCGCGAACCAGTCTGGGCCCCCACCGGCGAAACTCTAATGTTGTGATACGAAATAAATTTCGATTTAGTTCGCTTACTTCAACGGTTTTATCTGCCATGCGCGACGGACGACCGGTAGGTAAGTTGTACTAAGGTGGTATTATAAAGTTGTAGTCTTGTTTTGGTGGCGACGACGACGACGACGACGTTGTTATTTTCACTGTTGAACACTTTTTGTCACCGTTCTTTCGTTCGTTCGTTCGTTGCTACATAGCCCTACTACTAAGAGGGGGGAAACCGAGAGCAAACGATTTATCGCACCTGGGTCGGAGTGCACCGGTAAGCTATTTTTTTTCCGCCAGTCGAACTCGGTGCTTGTTGGATGGGACTGTTTTGGGCTTTTGCTTCTTTTGCCGTTGTAAAGCGGTAAGGTGGTCGGGCGGTCGGTCACAGCAGCGCGGATGAATGATGGTTGTAAAGTTAATGTTGCTGATTGAATTATAGACATTAGATGGTACCGTAAAATTGTTGGTTTTGATTGGGTAATTGGTGGGTCATGTTTTCCAGTGTTTTGTAAGTTGATAATTGCGGTTTATGCGGCATATGGCGGCAAAACAGAGCAGAGCAGGTGATATTGGTTTTGTGATGGTAATGTGTTTGAGGTTTCAGGTGGATCAGTTTGTACGAGTATTTTGCATTAGAGCTGGTGCACTTAATTTCATTATAAAACTTTATAACGGAGCGATCGGGGGGGGTTCCCAATAATCGTGCGTATTAAATGTTGCGGTTGTTAAGCATGCTTTAGTGGAGAGCAAGCGTAAAGCTGGGACGTAATAGTTCAATGAGAAGAAGAAGAACGTGACTGTGACGAAGGTATTCTTTAGCATATTCCTTTTTATGAAGTATTGTTCAAGGTCGAATATCACTCCCCGTAAATAATGTATCAGAAAAACATCGTTTGGCTTGTTCAATTTTGATTTTAGATTTAATTCATTGTAATAGCTTCTTGTAACCGATAATGAACGATTGTCGGTCGTAGCTTGCTGTGATGTAAGGGGCACGGTGGCTTTACAGCAACCGTTTTTGCTTACTGAGCAGAAGATCGTGGGTTAGAACCCAATCACTTTACACTATTGACCGGAACGAATTTCGGTTAAAAGAAGTAATATCTGAGTTTTAGGAAAGACGTGTTGAGTGGAAATCCATATCAAATTCTTTTCAAAAGCAATTGTTGTCGTCATCGCACGGAGGGGTATTTGATCAATCTAGCTGGCCAAAACAATTTTTACGTTGTAACTATTTCAAATGTAATTTTAATACTTCTGTAATGGTACTATGTCCATATACATAGAATATGTTCAGACTAAAACCAATTACCGGTACCGTACATGGGTGTAACTTTGGATAATGAGCGTAGCTTTCCACCACTTTTTTCTCCTTTTTGTTACACTGAAAAATAGTCCTAAAACTGTTCCGAAAGGTATTTCTCAACCCCTAAAACGACATTATGGCCATATACATGGTACATTTTCAGTCTTCAAACCAATTACCAGTACCGTAAACGGGTGTTACACCGGAAAATAGTCCTAAAACTGCTACAAAAGATGTTTTGTCACTTCTAGAACGGTGCTATGATCATATGCACGGTATATTTTAAGATTTAAACCAGTTAAAAGTATCGTAAATAGGTGTAACTATGGTTTACTTGGGTAACTGTCCACCACTTTTTTCTCCATTCCACTAAAAAATAATGTTAAAAAGGCTACCGAACCTATTTGACACCTTCATAATGGTACTAAGACCATGGTATATTTTTAGACATAAAACCAGCTACCAGTACCCTGCATGGGTGTAACTTTGAATATTGAGGGTTACTTTTCAATGTTTTTTTCTTTTGTTACACCAGAAAAAAAGTTATAAAACTGCTACTAATGATATTTTACAACCTATATAATGGTACTATCAGCACATGCATGATATATTATCAGACTTAAAACCAAGTACCAGTACCATACATTGGTGTATCTTTGGTATACGAAGGTATTTTCCTCACCTTTTACTCGCTATTAAGTGTAGCTGGCAAGCAACGTGTTCCTCAAAATAATAATAAAACGAAAAACGTTCAGATTAAGCCAAAAAAAAACAAGCATGTTTAATAATCACAAACTATAAACAAACACAACAAAACTAAAAACACACAATCTAATCTGAACATGATGAATACCACAATTCTCCTTCAGATGATATTTCCGTGCTATCCGACAAATCATCCGAATTAGAGACTGTATAAAAATGATCAATTGTAGGTTCAGCTGGCAACAACATTTCCAAAGACTCCTTTAAGAAGGGTTTGGATTTCTTTCGCGGTGTTTGTCTCATTCCTAGTGAAAAACGGAAATTTACATGATTATCATACTATTAGAACTCGTAGAAAACGGCATACCTGAAAGTAGAGGATCCGAGTTAAGAAGTAGCCTATTGAGCACGTCTCTGTTACACGATTCTCTAGAAAATTTCCAGGCGAAATTCTCATGGTATGATCGAATGTGCTTGTTCCTGGCCTCTACTGCTTCTTCTAAAATCTGCCGTGGCAGTGCATTTTCAATAACAATCCCACCGTGTATCAATATTGTATGAATCGTGGATATAATTTCACATACAGTTTAGCGGTGTCTTTTGTATAAATAGACAATTTGTTGATGTCAATTTTATGGCCACTAGATAGATCCTCCAAAATAACTTTGAAGCGATAGAGTAAATTGTAATCAATCCCAGTTATATCGACTGAAATAGTTAGTTCTGCGAAAAAACGTCGACTGGTATTACCATCATTCGTTTTTCCAAATCCTGGCTTGGGTACATCCACTAGAAGGCCTTGTTTTTGTTTAAATACATCTTGTATTCTAGTTTTACTTTGCTTTACGATATCTTTATCCTTTTGTAGCTGCAGCCTCCATTTTGTTAGAGGTAGTTTATACGAAAGATGCAGCATACTTTCAAAAATACGGATCCTTGCATGTAACACCGAGAGACCAAAGTTTAATGCATCTGGATTAATTTCTTTTATAATTTCTAGATTATTAAAATCTTTAGATGTTACTCCACATATGTACCGTCTCATCGTAGAGTTCGTTTGCGTGGCAGCGTTGCAAACCTTACCGTCGACCATTGTAAGCATCAGCGTGTGTTTGATTTCAATAAATTTATCAAAAACGGGTACTTTTGTTCGTTGCAGAGCATCTATGGAAACTTGAATGTACGATATTTCTTCGTTAGTGATGTCGACGTATTCTTTTACAAAATAAACTTTTCTGAAAATTTCAAGAAATTCGATACTATGACTGAACAGCTACCCTGCTTATGCGTGCTCGAATTTTAACAGACTTCTCAAAAAGCTGATAGCAGCGTAGACGATACAACAAAAGTTTTCATCGTTTTGAGATTCTGAACTCCATACTACCAGATCGAATCGACCCTATATAATACGAAGCAAATTGAGAACTATTGTGCTACCTATTTCCAGACGACATAATCGGTACAATAGAAAGCCAAAATAACCCACTAGCGACAGTCAATTTCACGCACAATAATGCGCTATAAAGTGTATTACTTCCGACACTAAATATGTTTAACGTACAGAGCGAGAGTAAAATCGATTATCGCTAGTGAGTTATTCCGATATTCAAGTGTACACTCAATGAATGAGAATAAGCAGTTTGATCGTATGTAGCGTCAGTAAACGGAACAGTGCAGGTACTGCTTCAACCGTTCAACAGCAGCATCAGCAGCAGAAATAATAAACAGAAATAATAATTCTGTTGATTGTCGACCGAACTGATCCATCTTGCACAAACGTAATCTGCTCTGCTTGGCCTGTAGTACTCCTAGTGCACAGGCTGAGGTGTAACAAAATTTCGTGTACCTAGTTATGTTATTCCATGTGGAGTTTTATACAATTATGGCGTCCAAAGCTACTTCTTACCCTTTCATTGAAATTTAACCTGATGATTTAAACAACATTCCTCCGTTAATATCTGGCATTTTCTAATTCATTTTGGATCGTTATAATTGCAGCAATGGGCAATGGATAAAATATCCACGAAGAAAGTAAAAGTGTTTACTCGTACAGTAAATAACGTTCAAACTGCGGCCAATAAAATGGCACGATATTTATACAACTTTGACATGTTGTAACTTTGTTCTGTTATGACCAATTGAGCTGAAATTTTGACACAGAACTATAAATATATTCTGTAAACAAACGAGACTATCATGCAATCCATAAAGTTTAAAAATTTTACTTGTGGTGCTATTAAATATAAATTTCATCAAAATATGTTCTATTTTTGTATCTATTTTTGCATTTCTTGCTACTTATTTAAAACACCGTTGAAAACTCATGCTTGATTCAAATTAATGTGTTCTCAATTACCTGCCTGAATAGAGTCCATCCTAGATGTATTTTCAAAAATATAATTTGTGATGATTAGCGGAACAGAGTCCTCAACGACGCGAAACAAAATTGCACGAAATCACACGACCAACTCGTAAGCCAACCTATTATTAACGTGTTCAATGTACTATTTCATTGACAGTTAGCCCCCCTAGATTTGCCAAATACCCCTCCGTGCATCGGTGAGGTCGTCACCGGGATCGAAACATAGTTTCAACAAATTGAACGGAAACTTGAACGTAATTATTTTGTGATACAAGGAGCTCGGTGGTCTAGTGGTGACCGATTTTGCTCACTGAGCAGAAGACTTTGGGTTCAAACTCAAGCTCCTTCGCGCTATGGAATCGTTAGGACATCAACTCAGTATATTGTTTACCAAAACGAATCTTGCTGCAATCCCAACCATTTTATACAACATCCCAGTGATTTATCGTGGAAAGGCAGAGTATTACGTAAACATATTCCTACCCACTAGAATCACTAGATCACCAGTTTTTACACATTGAGGATGAATTCCAGTCCCAAGCAACGTTTATTGGTTCTC